CTCGAGCGCATGCACTCGAACTGGGCTTGGACCAACGTCTGGGCGCAGCCGGCCTCGATCGGTTGGGACGGAGCTGGAGTTCGGGGAGGGCGACCGGACGCAGTGGCTGCAGGACAGACGAGACCGTGGACAGAGGCTGAAACCACGGGGCAGCTGAGCTCGCGCGTGAGACGCGTGCTCGGGGCTGGGGGGACAGGAAAAGCCCCAGATGAAGTCGGGGCGAACGTTAACATTCGGGGAGCTGAGAAGTGCCGAGGCGGTGGACCGGAACGCGGTGTCAGGCGAGCTCCAGGGACAGGGCTGCCTGACGGACAAGGACTTCGCAAGGCTCTGCGTGAGCCATGGCCACCGGCGCCCTCCGCCCGAGCCTCCTGGGCCGTCTGTGCGTCTCCTCGCCCGACCCGGATGCAGCAGGAGCCCGCCAGGCCGCGGAGGCGGGTCCCCTGCCCCTCGAGGTCCGCTCACCCCCTGTGCCGGGGCGGGCGCTTCTCTCTATGTCCCGCTTCGAGTCACGGGGCCCCGGCCCCCTCCAACCTCGCAGGCTTCGCAGCTCGAGAGAGAGAGAGTCCGAGCTTTGGAGACGGAATAAAGTGCCATTTTCTCACTCACTCTGTAGAAACCCACGGCGTCCGTGGGCCCCGTGACGATGCAGCTCCACGTCGCAGGTGCGCCTGTGCCAGACGGACCCCGAGCCCGGCACTGCTCGGTGCGGAAACGCTGCCACCGGCCCTCTGTCCTGTCCGAACGTCCCCTCGCGTGCTGCGCGCAAACGCCTTTCCCCAGGGCCTCTTATTTTAAGGTCACCTCTTCCCTGTGCCCGTTTGTATCGTATTAAATATCAATTCGAGGATTAGAACGAAACGCATTTCTACACGTCCAGAAAGTTTACAAACCAAACACTGAACCCCGGCGTTTGCGTTCTGGCGACGGGTCCTGCCTGAAACCGGAGCGAAGGGCCTCACAGAACCCCCAACCGCGAGAGCCGGGCGTGCGCAAAGCGAGAACGTAGTACGGGCTGTTTACTTCACCTTTCCCACCCGTCGACGGTCTGAATTTCGCACTGCAGACTGCGTGGTGACGAGAAGGGGCCGCTGGCCATCTCTGGCACCACCTCTTTGTGGCGATGAGCGTTATCGTGTGAGTTGTTGTTTTTCATACGGATCGGTCAGAAAATGCAAGGCATTCGAAGGAGACTTTCTAATTCCATTTTCTAAGAACTATGAAAACATATGGTCCCACGATATTATTTTGAATTATGTCGTTGAGCTACTTTGGTCATAGGGATGTCACCAGAATATCGGTCACGAAGAAGCTCCGCTCTGCAGAGGTCGTTACAGTGCAGCAGACGCAAACTTAAACACTAGCGGAACCTTCTAGTGACACAGAGACAGTGTTCTTTGTGTGGCAGCTGCCTCCGTCCGTCGCGGACATCGCGAATACTACAGGTTGAGGGGTAACGAAGCGGGGGGTGACGCATCGTTATGTGTTGAAATCTCTGGATGGCACACATGCATCACGGGATGGATGCAGGTGTCCACGGCCGGCGGCCGGGGCTACAAACGCACGACCTCGTCTGGCCCGTGTGTTCCCTACCGGGGTCCACGCACGTCCACGGGGAGACAAACGGGGGAGCAGGGGCCCTGGCCCTCCCCTGAGCGGACGTGGGGTCGGGGTTCTGAGTGCCGGGTTCTCCAGCCCAGCGAGCGCCGCGCGGCACAGACGGTGAATGTTGTGTCCTTGGTGACTCACAGGACCCTGGGGGAGCCCGGTCGCCATGCGGGGTCGGCGGCCGTGGTTAAGCGTGGGCTCAGCCGTCGGCAGAGTGAGCTCGCGCACGTGTCCGTTAGTTTGCCTGACGATTAGCCATCGCGATGTCTGCACACGGGGTCTGGCTTTCTCTTTGTCCTCTCCCAAAGGTTCTGGCTTAGAATTCGGACGAGGGACCCCAAACCCAGCACAGATTCGCCTCTGGGAGCTCAGGCAAAGGAGTCACCCTCCTCTCCTTAAATACAGCCCTCCGGCCGTCAGCAGCCGTGAGACGCAGTGGGGGAGCACGGCTCGTCCCCGTACTGGGACACGTGCGCCACAGTGACCGCGGGGGCCCTGGCTGCTCTTCCTGGAGAAGCCGTGGGGACGGCCCCAGTGCCACGGCCAGAAGCACGTGTCGTGTTCCCCATGAAGCAGGAGCAGCAACTCAGGCAAAAGCCGTCTTTTTAGTGACCCTGAAAATAAGCGAGAATGGCCCCCCACTTGCGAGGGCGTTTTTGTCTAAGCATTGTGCATTGTGACAGAAAGCACAGTGGACATGGATTCGATGGGCCTGGGGTCCAACAGAACCCAACGTGAAACCCGCCCAGTCGGCAGCTGCCTCTGTCTGCACTGCGCCGCTGGCCGGATCTGACGCGTTAGATAATAAATAAGAGGAGATATTTCTTACGTTACGTCTGAGAACTTTTTCTGTGCGTGCTGTTCGCTATCACAGACAGAAGAGTGAAAATACGCACCACGAACGTCATTAGCGAGCCTGCTCCGTGGCCCGGGCAGATGTAAGTAATTTTGTTTTTATTTCTCGTTTTTGGCCCCCACCGATCGAGCGCTGATGAAACTTACAGATGTCAGTGTAGACATCTGTGGTCAGCACACCCACCGGCCTGGGCTGGCAATTAACAAAAAGCCAACGACACACAGCCCGGATCACACTCTCACGATAACTAGAGTTATCGTGGAAAATCTCAATATTTACCTTGCCAAAAATTCAGAAACACCCTTTCTAAAGACTATTTCTAAATCCCCACCTAAGCATAATGCCGAAGATGGGTCCAGACTTGCGTGTTATTTTCTGAAATTACATTAGCTCTTCGTGAATACAGACCACCAAAGATCTTACAAATAACACTTTCGATGATCCGCTCTGTGCGTCCTAAAATGAACAGATCCGCAGTTTCTGACGGCTAACTTCCTTCCCTTTTGTGGGAGAAATCGCGCCAGATCCGTGCGTAGCTCTGGGGTCCTTCCTGTTAACGATGCCCACGGGAGCACGGCCGGCGGCTCGCAGTCTCTGGGGGTCCCCTCGGCTTGCTCGGGCACAGTTCTCGGGGGCAGAAGACTCGACTCCATTGGAAACTGAGGTCCTCGTCGATAGACCCCTCTTCCTCGGGGTTCCGGTTTCCGGGATAAGAGCACGTTCTACTCTTTGTATTGTTGAAATAATCCTCCTTGACAGAAACGACCGGATAAGAGACGTGAGCCCCCTGCTCTGTCTCCGTCATCCGCGATCTTAATGCCAACGCCAACGCCAACGCGCGAAACAGGCTCTCGTTTCAAACGTGACCTGCGCGCGGCCCTTACATCTTCCTGGGCTCGGCGACTTCCCGTCGTTCCCAGAGTGCGGTGGACTTGACCTCCCCGGCCCTCGATTTTACCTGCATTTCATTCTCGTAGACACGTTCTGGGGGAGCTGCTTTGCTTGCGGACTGAATTTATCGCCGACCATCGGCTGCAACCGCCTCCGTCTCCCGGGGGGATTTCCCTCCCCCTCCCCACGGGCGCTTGGTTTCTCAAGGTCAGAGATCTGAGACTGTCTGGTTTTGCCCAGGGGACATCTCTGTTAGAGGTAAAGCCACGGGGCTCTATTGACTGTTTCCTGGCTTTTTTAAAAAAACATCCTCACCAACGGTCTCCATTGTATCATAAGTCGCCGTCCCTCTGTGACGGTCCGGTTTACCTTCAGAGGGTCCAGATGGGCCTGAAGGTCACCCGAGGTCATTTAGCTTGACAGAAACCCAGAGCGACTTTCAAGACGTTCGTAATCACGGCCAAAGACGAAGGAAGATTTCGAAGGACAAGAGGATATTGGCAACACAGTTAAGCTCCGGTCCTGGGGGCCGCTCTGCGTGAAGGACAAGGTCAGCCAGTGAGGGCACCAGGCGCAAAGCCCCCTGTGGCCTGTGCCTTGGGGTCGGGCGGAGTCTAGCACTGGGGCTGAGTTCCCCTCCCGCGACCCCACAAATCCCGCCCCGCTCAGAATCAGCACCCTGACGCCCGGCCTCCGTTCCTGAGAAATGAAATCAGAGGCCGAGCAGCACGCGCTGGCTCAGACATGCCTGTCGCACGCCTGGAGGCTGCCAAATCTGTGCTCTGTGGTTACACTGCCCGGCTTTCGATGCTGTTTTTGACATTTACTGGCCTTACGATGCTGGGCAGATTCCTCGCTCTGTTTTTTCCTGTCTGTGAACAGAAGTGATAAGCGCCATCCACGTGTTCTAACGGATTCGATAGGATGACACTCAAACATGACTATCGATTAGTCACCCATAAATAACATCGTTTAAAATTACTGTGTCGAAATAAGGCGTCTGGTTACCCCGTGGGGCGTCCCCTCCCTGCCCCGCCAAACATCCGTGCCAGACTCACGGTGGCAGTCCCTTCCCGTTCTCTCCCGGGCCTTCCAGAATCTTCTCCAGCACGGACCTCGCCTCTGTCCTGGCTGCTGGCCCGTCCACCCACGTTCCCTGCTTCGTCCCCCACGCAGCCTCCCGGGTCCCACGGACGTACGTCTGTGCTGGCTGCACTGCCGTGCGCCCTCCAGCAAATCCACTGTCCAGGAAGATGAGGCTGTCACCACCACGGGCCACGTGTCACATCTCGACCCCGCAGGTGCCAGTGGCAGCTGTGGAACTGTGTTTACTGGCTTTTTAAATATTTTGAAGCATTTATACCACGCTTACTGCTCATTCTTCACTCGTTGGTTCATAGATACGTGGCTGCGTGTTCTTTCTAATTCTTCTCTAACTGCTTCTCTCCCTCTCGGATGTTCTGTCCTGGCCATTTTCTCTGTCCCTTATTCGCTGGGTCCACGTCCCACGGCACTGACGCTGACGCATTACGATCTGGGCATTTTCCTTCCCCTCCGGTCTCAGTTAGCTCTCTCCTGAGCACCCCCTCTTCCAAACGCTCCTAAGACACCACATGCCACTGACGCCTCGCTCTCGGGCACCGTCACCCGACCAGTGACGCGGCTGCTCCTCGTCCACGCTGCCTCGGTCCTGACCCGCAGCGGGGACTACGGCACAGGCGAAGGTGTGTTGGCACCGCTGGGACTCAAGCGGAACCCGACCGAACCGTCCCCTGCATCGAGCGCGCCGGCAAACTCGCCGAGGTGGGAGCTTCTGCCTTCCCTGCCCCGTCACCGCGAGGACCAGCGAGGCGAGCTGTCTGGTGAACAGCGAGGCGCCGACTCATCTGCGTTTCTTCCCGTCGTCACGATTCACAGCAGAGACACACCGCCGACGCGGCTGCTCCTCGTCCACGCTGCCTCGGTCCTGACCCGCAGCGGGGACCACGGCACAGGCGAAGGTGTGTTGGCACCGCTGGGACTCAAGCGGAACCCCTGACCGAACCGTCCCCCGCATCAAGCGCGCCAGCAAACTCGCCGAGGTGGCAGCTTCTGCCTTCCCGGCCCCGTCACCGCGAGGACCAGCGAGGCGAGCTGTCTGGTGAACAGCGAGGCGCCGACTCATCTGCGTTTCTTCCCGTCGTCACGATTCACAGCAGAGACACACGTCCCTCCGACGGCCCGGGCCTCGGTCACTGAAGCTGACCGGGAAGAGCCCCGACCCCCCGCTGCCTCTGGGAGAACAGCCACACGGCTCCACGCCACAGGCTTCCGGAGAGCATTCGGGGACACGGAGACTTCGGAAGCACGGGCGACTCTCAGAGTGGAGCACCAGGCGCCGTCCAAGGACGTCTCAGCAATTGCCAGGCACGGGGTGGACCGCACGCCCCTGACACGCGCACTCGGGCGCACTCGGGGCTTCGCAGGAGCGGGGGCGTTTCGGGGTCGGGGGAGCCCCCTCCGCGCTGCCCCGGCTGCTTCTCGCCGGGGTGGCTACCTACCCACCTCCTTCCCTTTCCCTCCAGTTCTCCTGAGTGACAAGAACATAATTGCGCTAGTCAGTGTCGCAGGCCCGGCTTGGTTCCGGGCGTGGTCCTAGCCCGTGGGGGGCGGGGGCGAATCTTTCCAGCTTCTACAGCTGCCCCGTCGCCCCAGCTTCCTGAGGGCGAGGCCGAGCTTGAGACCAAAGGCAGTTAACACTTTGCTAATCACTCAGGGACCTAAAGGGTTCATTAGACATCACTGTACTCGAAGCTGCTTATTCAACAATTTTCATGCATTTACTCAGAAGGTTTTTCAATGGAAAAAATTTCAACTCAAGTTTTAGAAGTTATCATGCAAACATTTTTAATTTGGAGAAAAAGGAAGACCAAGTCGTTGCACACGTATGACATTTTAAACAAGTCATTGTACTTACGTTGCTCGATATTAACGTCCCTTTAACTTATGTAATTTATAATTTTTAAAAGATACAAGGTATATTTATGAAATTCATTTTCGTGTCCCAAAATCATAAGAACAGTGATATCTTCAGCAGTCTGTGAAAAAGTCTACTTAAGGAGCTGTGACCTTTGTTGGCCACACACACACGCACAGACACATGCGCACACATGTGCACGCTCACACGCACATGCACACACACACAGACACATGCACACACGCACGCACACACGGACGTGTGCACACGCACATACACACACGTGTGCACGCTCACACGCACATGCACACACGCTGTGAAAAAGTCTACTTAAGGAGCTGTGACCTTTGCTGGCCACACACACACACGCACAGACACATGCACACACGGACGTGTGCACACGCACATGCACACATGTGTGCACGCTCACACACACGCACGCACACATGCACACACAGAGACACATACATGCACACACACCCAGTTCTTTACGTCCTCGGACACGTAAAGGGGTCAGGCAGTGGCCTGCAGGCGGGACCGACACATCGGCTGAGGGTCTGCAGCGCGACGTGACACATGCACACACGCACGCACACACGGACGTGTGTACACACACATGCACACATGTGTGCACGCTCACACACGCATGCGCACACACACATGCACACACAGAGACACACGTGCACACACATGCACACGTGTACGCTCACACGCACATGCGCCCCCACACACACACAGAGACACACACATGCACGCACACCCAGTTCTTTACGCCCTCGGACACGTAAAGGGGTCAGGCAGTGGCCGCAGGCGGGACCGACACATCGGCTGAGCGTCTGCAGCGCGACGCCGCGCGTGCCTCCCCCCCGCCCGGCTCTGGGTACTTACGGGACTGGCGAGGGCCGGGCCGGCCCCACTTACCCAGACACCGCGTCTCGGCACCGCTCCAGAGCCCGTTCGCGAGGCACTCTCTGACGTGGGACCCCACGAGCGTGTAGCCCGTGTTACACGTGAATATGGCCGTGGCCCCGTACGTCGTCAGCGTCCCAATCTTGTTCCCGTTCGGGGGGAAGGACAGGCTTCCACACGAGATGACTGCGAGGAAGACGATAACCCGGTGAGAGGCTGAAACTCAGCGGTGAAGAACGTAGGCTACCCAGCCTCCCTCCCAGCTTCGCCACCGCTGGCCAGGAGAAAAATGAAGGTTTCCTAAGCCGCCCGCCTCCCGCTCGCATGAGAGATGCACAGGACACTGAGGACGTCCTCAAGGTGGCCCCAGCCCCACCCGCAGAACCAGCTCCAGCTAGAAACGAAGGACAGTGCTGGACGTGGGACGTTGGTGAAGCACACCAAGGCCACGGCTCTTAAGTCCCTCCTTGTACCCTGACGACAGCGTCTGGAGATTCGGCCGCCTCCCCCTGGCCCGGTCGGAGACGCCCTACGGCTGCGGACTCCCCAGGAAAGCCAGCGCCGCTCACCGGCTTCCCAGTGCCCGCCAGTGCCCGCCCGGGACCAGGGCCCGTCCGGCTCGCCAACAGGGAAGTGACAGCCCAGGACCGGCCTGGCAACTGGGCCAAAGCGTGACGACCTTGACCCGTAACTGACGTGCAGGAGGCGGGGTGCTCGCGCCCTTGAGACCAGGCCTGTGAATTAGGCTGATCTCGTTCCCAGATGCGACGCCCACGATTCTGTTTCGAACGCACAGACACGCGCACGGCCAGGTCACGTGCGTCCTGTGGGGACCGCTCGCCAGTGGCCAGGGCGGCCGGCCCCTGGAGTGTGCCCTGGGCGGACGGACACCCGTACGTTTGTCGATCACCGCCGGTCAAATCCTGGAGGTCAGCAGGGACCGGCCCGCCCACCTCACGCCGCGACCCGGGTCCGGCTTCAGAGAACTCTCAAAGCAGCGGACAGGAAAGAGGCAGAGGCCCAGACCGGGCCACGTTCTCAGGACACCTGTCACGAACACGGTTCTGGTGTGACAGGCGGTGTTTGTGACTGCGTAGAAAATTTAGAAAACGCAGATGGTTTCTTTTTGCTTCGCGGAGTTCTGTGATTAACGTTCTTCTTGCACATTAAAGCAAATAATAAAACGTCAAATAATAAAACGCAGTAATAAGAAGAGAAACAGTAGCCCCCACACTCTCGTGGTCCCTGTGCTGGGGAGGCGTGTGGGCTCCCCTCCTGCGGGTGTCAGTCTTGTGTCCTGGGGACTGGTCCCCGGTGGCCACGTCTCCGCCCACAGGCTGACTGCGGGGCTCGCGGACTGGAGGGGAGGGGGGGTCTCCCGTCCCCTCACCCCGGACGGCTGGGCTCTGCCCGAGGACACGCTAACGCAGCCCCGAGGGGCATGGCGCAGACCCTGCGAGAGATGGGGCACGTCTGGCTGACTCCAGCGTCCTTGTGGATGCGCGTAGTAGGTGCTCAAGGCTCAGCTCTCCATCTACAGCTAAATGGACACGCCGAACGGGGGATTCTAACACTTCCAGACAGATAACGAGAAACGGTGAAGTCCCTGGTGACTCTGTGAGCAGGGACATTCGAAGATAAACCAAAGGCAAACCAGCCGACCGACATCAATAAAAATGTGGCTCTTTGCTGTGTTCATGATTTGGACGGCGACACACCTGAAGACTCTCTTGGTCCAATTCCAGTGAGATGTAGGGAGAGACTGGGTGCCTGTGTCTTCTGCGAAAAAGCCGCCCCAGAGTGGCAAATCGGGCTTGCAAACGCGCATCGCTTTAATTAATTTTAAGGAAGCGATTAAACAGCATTTGACCTTCCTGGGGTTCATCGTGTGTGCGTTGCACAGCGTGGCACGCTATTGCCGGGATTTAGAGTGTGGTTTTCGTGTGTGGTGACCAGGCAGGGGACAGGAGAGGTACCTGTAATTTAAAGGAAATTCAAATATACAGGGAGGTGAACTGAGTTACAGCAAAGAATGAACCGACGCAATGTTCACTCTTATTTTTGCAGAACCCAGAAGATACTGGAAACACTTTAAAGCTCTGCGTTCTGTTCGTGGCTTCGTTTTTTGGGGAGTAAAGTTTTAAAGGCTGTTACTAATTCTCAACAGTAAATCGGCCGTGTTTTCCCTGACGCTATTAACTGAGGCACCGTGGGGCCCAGGGTTGGGCCCGTCACACCGGCCCCCACAGAAAGGACCTGGGCCCTGCCAGGATGGCTGATCCCGAGTTCGTGGGAGGAAAACTCAGGGTGAGCACAAACCACCCTGTCTCCGTGAGAAAACGAGGCCGCAGCGGACAAGCCGAAGTGGCCAGGCAGAGGGGGCTGCCCCTGGCCAAGCCGCGGCCTCCTGGACCGCAGACATTGGGACCCACGTTAACTGAAAGGAAACAGTGACTTCAGCGGAAAACGCTGTTTCTGGAAGAGGCCACACCTCCACGATGACATTCGAGAGACAAATAACAGACGACGGGACACCTCGCGAGGTGACAACAAGGCGAGTCAGCGAGCGGCTGATGACTTGCGGAGTGCGTGTGCCCCCGGATGGGACAGACAGGCGTGTGGCCGAAGCGCGGACGGCGGCTGGAGGGGGGGCCTGGACCTGACGCAGCCTGAGAACCCCAGGCTCCCGCACGTCGGATCGGAGTCAGGAAACCCGGGGCCGGGGCGTGGAGGCGGTGATGGGGACGGCAGAGCCGCTGCTTCCTCCCCGGGGCTAGCCGGCGCGGAGCGGTCAGCAGAGGCCGCTTCGCCAGCGCTCCTGTGTGTCACACGCTCTCCCCGCGCATGGCAGCGCCCTGGGGAGGCCACCTGCGCCGTGAGTGGGAAGCCTGCGGCGTCACGGACGCCCACGTGGCACCGACCCCCCGGGCGGGCAGGGTCACCAGTCCCGCAGCATTGGAGACGGAAGTGCTACCTGGACGCAGGTGGGGGCCCACGGACGCCTGCGGGGACGCCCCGCCCCCCCAAAGCAGCCCCTGAGGTTCCCTGGACGGACTCTGGTTTGGAGCCGACGAAAAGCTGGCAGGAGGAGTCCTGGCCGGGCCACAGGGACATGTCCCCGGTGCCTCCGCCCCACTCTCCTGGGGACCCGATGACGTGGTCTCCGAACGTGCGCACTGGGCGCCCCGGTGGGTGTGGCAGGGGCCGTGGGCGTAGGGAGCAGGGGAGCTGCTAACTCCGACCCGGAGCACAGAGGACACTCAGAATGGATCCAGTGACTGCAGAGTCAAGCCAGGACTCCTTTGAGAATGACGAGGGGACCGTGAATAAGTGCCCCGGAAACTCGGCTCGGGCAGGGCCGTCCGGGGACACAGGTGCTGTTCCCTTTGACACAAGGGAACGGTGACTCCCGGAGGTCACTGTGCCCCCTAATTTATCCCATGTCCCCGGGACCAGCTTCTGCACATGTGCAGTTGGCATCTGTTCCATTAAAACTTGAATTAGGGTGATTACGAAACACAGTGAAGCATCTTTGTGTTCTTTGCCCATTTTTACTCTGGTTTATTCCTACTCAGCCGTGCATTTTAGAAATTTGACACTGGTCTAACTACTCGTTTCTGTGCATGATGATTTCCTGTGACCAATCAACGAAAGACTGTATGTTAAATATGTCTGGATCAAGCTGTGCTCTGCACAATGCTAATATTGTTTTATTTTTCTATTTATGCACCTTTATTATGAATCCTCAGAAGCTCACCCACTTATCCCGTACCTACGAGAATAAAAATCTCTCTTCTCAAGACGGTCATGGTCTGAGAACACAGTGTCTTCAGCATAAACAACATTCCCCAAGATTCTAATTAGAAGGTTGGAATCGTCAGTGCGTGGAATAAAATCGATCTTTTCAAACATGGACCTGCATTTGTTTCTGAGCTGATCTGAAATATCTGAGTGTTCTCATATCTCCAAGTTTACAAAATGCCATTGTTAACAAGGACGAGACGGCGTTTAGCATGTGTTCCAGCAGCCATGTATGCTGGGCGTGTCACGTGAGGATACACATCCATCATAATGAAAACGAATGCCGTCCGGCGGCACCGCAAGTCTGCAGGGCTGGAAGGTCACGGCGCCGCGGCTGCCCGTGGCTCGGACGCTGCGCACCTGGGGAGCTCGCCCGGGACTCACCTCTGCACCGTGGCCTCTCCTCTCCGATGCTCCACGTCCCGTTTGCCTGGCACTGCACGAGCCGTCCGCCCTCCAGGTAATACCCAGGGCTGCAGCTCAGCAGCACCTGAGCTCCATACTCGCTGGGGGACCCTGACACCAGCCTCCAGGTGACGTGTTCTGAGAGCTGGGCTTCGATGCCAGGGCAGGTCACCGCTGGAAGAGAAACAGACGAAACGTCAGCATGGTTCCCCCAAGGGATCCGACCGAGCTTGCTTCCAAGAAACTGCTCCTGCTGTGCAAGCTCCATGCTGTGCCCAGCATTTCGGGGTTCCTCTGCTCTCCACGTAGTCACACGGAAAGGCCACGCGTGGAAAACGCAGCCCGGGGCCTCACGCACGCGCCGCAGCCATCCTGCAGTGACGCCACGCTGCGAAGGGACAGATCGCTTACGTGAGGTTGCGTGGTTCCTTTGGGGTTCACTGTGCAAAGACCACGTGCAAAAAAAACTACCTTTCACGAAATTCATCTCAATGCCCCCTGAGAAACGCGGAGTAGCCCCCGGGCGATGGGAACCTGCCGGGGCTCTAATGCTCAGAGGCTCGGCGCCCGCGCACCCCTCCCCCATGGGGCACGCCTACGCAACAGACGGCACGTCATGGACTTGCAAGCGGCTCACAGGTTCAAGGGCACGGGCGCCGGTGCTGAGAAGCACAGAGCGCGCCTCAGAGGAGAAAATCGGTGCACGCCCAGGAGGGGCTGGGTCTCCGGGGGCTGCTGAGGGGACGGCAGCGTTCACGGACTGCGGGCGCTCGAGTCAGGTGCTAACTGTACACAGGGAAATGTGTGGAAACACAGTAAGAGTGGAGAGCTCTGCAGGGAGGAAGAGAAGCCAGTGAACGGCCAAACCAGAACCAAATAATCACAGAGCAAATGATGCTCAACGTACAAACGTGTGCGCATGCAAAATGCCGCATATACGAGTGCCCGTGTCTTACGAAAAGTACGGTAATCTTTAAAATGAATTGCACGGAGCGAGGAGCCAGAGTTTCACTTCTCTGAATATAACATCATCACAGCCACCTGTCCACGACGTCTGCTAATGTTACTGTCACCTGTATCCTCCTTGTCCGGGGACGTCTGGATAGCTATTTGAGACTCCCGGTAGGCCCTTCACAAGGACAGGCCTTGCTGATGATCTATCTGGCCGCTGTTTCCCAGGTGGGCAGTGTCCTGGGGCCCCGGAGAGCGTTCTCACGGGGAGAAGCCCAGAACGTAGTGTGTGGTTGCCATGCCTGGCGTCGGGCTCTCACTCCGAGAGAATAACGTGAATGAGAATTGAACTCGAAAATGTGCGGGTGTATTTTGTTATCGCTGTTTCCGGGACTATCTCACAATTACGGTAAAACAGCGCTTTCATTACACAGAAAACAACTAGGATACGTATGTTTCCTTAATGGTGCCTGACTCGGGAAATGTAGTAATGATCTGCCGAAAAATAGACGAAAATGAGAGCTAGGAAATTAAAAGTTATGCGGGAGCCAACTACCTTCCGCAAATGCTCACGTGTTCGTATCTAAGAAGGTGAAGCACGTTCAACGCGACCAAGAGACCGGGCGCGAGAGAGGCGCAGGCACGAACTTTCCACGAGGCCCGGGAGCAGACACCGCGGATACCGCGGACGATGCAGACACCGCGGGCGACAGCAGTCTCCATGGACGGACCCGGCCGCTAGGACCGCGTCCACCTCGGGGTTGGTGTGCACGCAGCTGCGGTGCGCGCGCGCGTGTGCAGTGTGTGCGCGTCGTGTGTGCGGTGTGTAGTGTGCGGGGAACCTCTGCTCTCTCCGGCTTTGCGCTGTGGGCGTGGTTATTATTTCCTGAGACCGGCGCTCCGCAGCAGACCCCCGCTGTCCCTGGACCCCCCGGCTGTCCCCGGTGATCCTCCCTTTCCGCGTCCGGAGGTGTTGGAGACGATGATGCTGCGCGGGGCGCCGGGAGGGGACCATGTCACCACGGGGCTCATCCGGGCGCGCGT